GGGGGGGGGGGCTTTACCTAAATCTTAATTTCTTGTTTTAGCAAGATGACTACTATGAAGCTTGAAGGGAAACTAAAATTCATTGGGCAAGGTATTTCTGATGCCCAATTTTAATGCTCACAATGACTTAATGGGGTCTACAAGTTTTCATTTTAGAACTGAGGAAAATGGCAGAATAACAGAGCATATGTCTTACCCCAAACCACACAGTAAGGCTGGGAATCAAGCTCAAGTCCACTTAACACCAAAATCCACACTCTCACTCCATCGGTAGAAAAAGCCAAGCGGGATGGGTCATGGCTGGGCAGTCAGTAGGCGATGTTCTGTGGCTCTGCCACCTCTACCACCAGCTTTCCCAGGGGAAGTCCTCTTTTGCCTGCTAGACCTCTGGGGTGTCAATGTTTCATTTGGAAAAAAAAAAGTTCACTGACCAAAAAAAGTATTTAACAACTGCATGGTTCTAGATTTCACAGTCTTCCTAAAACCTGAGGTGCGGAGGCTCACTTATTTTCCTTCTCTGCTTCCAAGTTTTAAAAGTTTTCCCTCTCTGCTCTCTAGCATAGTGGTTGCTGATTTTTTTCTGCAAAGTTAAAAACCTTCTCTTTAGATTTTTTCCGTAAATGTCTCAGTGTATTAACCAGCTTTTTCGTATGCATCTTGCCATTTCTTAGATGTCAGTAGTAGATGCCAGCAGCTGATAGATACCATACTTCATGCCCCAGAAGGGTTACGGCTGCTGCTTCCATTCTCCATGGCCAGTTCCCTCAACCTCCTTCACTTGCTCAAGTGATCTCAACCTCTCACAGCTCAAAGCAGGGGAGTGCAGCCCCCCCTTCACTCTAATAAATCACTCCATGCATCTGACTTTTAAGATTTTTTTTTTTTTAATATATCTTTATTGATTTCAGAGAGAGGAAAGGAGGGAGAGAGAAAGATAGAAACATCAATGATGAGAGAGTCATTGATCAGCTGCAGCCCGCAACCCGGGCATGTGCCCTGACCGGGAATCGAACGCCGATCGCCTGGATCCTAGGTCGATGCTCAACCGCTGAGCCAAGCCCAGCGGGCTGATTTTTAAGATTTTTTAAAATATATCTTTATTGATCTCAGAGCGAGGAAGAGGGAGAGAGAGACAGAAACATCAATGATGAGAGAGTCATTGATCGGCTGCAGCCCGCAACCCGGGCATGTGCCCTGACCGGGAATCGAACCTTCTGGATCCTAGGTCGATGCTCAACAGCTGAGCTACGTACGCCCAGCTGGGCACCATGCGTCTGCCTTTTAATATTCCAACCTCTTCCCAGGGCAGGAAATCACAAGTGAAAACACCATTTAGAAAGACATCTTTACCTCAGAATTCCTTTGCTGAAAATCTTTGATACGTAGCTTTCAATTTTCTTTAGACATATGGAACTTATGCTGAAAAGCCAGGAAATTGTCAAGAAGGTCAGAAGGTCCTGAAGCCTTCCACCAAAACTCACATCTCCAACTGGCGGAAACGCCGCCCTCAGGCCTAAATTAAGGCACAACCGCTTAACAAGCTCATTCTTTATTCTCTACTCATTCCCCATCTCCTCGCCACTGCTATAAATTTTCTATAATTAGTAACAGCAGCCACCATTTATGAAGAGCCAACTGGTGCAGACGCCAATCTAAGAACGTCATTATCTCATTTAATCCTCGCAACAGATTGAGGAGAAATCAGAGGCTTGGGGGGGGTGACATAAGTTGCCTCACGTGACCTGGCAAGGAACGTGGCAGCCAGGATTCAAACCTGAGTCTGACACCGACACTCTCCCTCTAGTCACTACTACACTGTGTCGCTTTAGTCGCAAAATAGTTTCTTCCCTCCTGAAAGACGCACTCCTTCAGGCAAATGCAATACCACAGCAGGGGGACCCAGAAGGCCCTGTCTGCCAGGTCAGCATGTTTTTATCCCAGAAGGGATGGGAAACAGAAAAAGTGAAGAAAAAAATAGGAGGTCTGAAGAAGGCTTCACCCCTGACTTCCTTCCTCCCAGCAGAGGTCAGATGAGCAGCCCCTGGACCAAGCGGGGTGGCTCTAGGGTGGGTTTCCCATCCCGTTTCCACCCCGGGCTGGGAGGAAGGGACCCGCATGACAAGTCTCCACCAGAAGGGCAGGCGCCGCGGGCCCCGCGCTGCATGAATTACCCGCTGCCGCCTCCCGGCCCCTCTCCCCTGGCCCCTCGCTCCGGTCAGTGAGTCATGAAATGAGGACAAGGCTCCAGGGAGGCGACTACCACAGCTGCACAGCCATGAAGCCGCAGTGACAGGACACAGGTGGTTGGCAACCCTCCCCGCGGGCCTCCTCTCCCACGCACCGCCCCGCAGCACTCACCGAGGGCCGGCCCCCCACAGGGTAAGAATCTGCAATGGCAGCCACTTAAAATGAGTCTTCTGCCCCCATCCCTGGACCGTGTATGAAGAAGCCCCGGATGTTTTACCTTCACTGAACTTTCAAACCGAAATACTTCATTACACTTGAGAGCACAGCTGGCACGCGTAAGCCAGTTCTTCCCACTCGCTTCGTGAGGCCCATTTTTTAAAAACATTATTAATTGTCAAGAGAGTCCAAACAGAATTTGCCTGCCAAGATGTATTTGGCAAAGGAAAGATACTCTATCTCCTGAAACATGCGTTTAAAAATCGGTTCCAATCTTCTTTTGGCTAAACTTTCCACGTACTCGCCTGAGAGAAAAATCAGGACTCCCTGCAAAACCAGCATTTTTTAAATGGAATCTCAGCACCCGGTTTTCTAATCCACTTACCCCCCGTATTGGGACTGTTGCCGTCTTCCGCCCCTTGCACGTGCCTCCCGGGATCCTGTGGCGTTGTGTGACCTGGCAGGGAGGACCTGGGCAGAACCAGATCTCCTTCGTGATGGGCCCGAGAAGCACCCCCTTCTGAAGGCAGTGCCCCTCCATCTGGGTCGGGTCTGATGCTTCTGTTTTCAAGGGAGGGAGTTGGGGATCCCTGGGAAGGATCGGGTGAATTTTCTTGTATCTCTGATGGAGCAGGGCCTCTGGTCCATTCAGAAGACTCAGCCGGGCCTCTTACATCTAGGGTATCTATCTCCTTCACAAGCCTCCCCTCTTTGGTTTGAGGGTCCAAGGTGACAGATTCTGTTTTGGGGTAGAATGGCCTATTTCTAGGTGTTGGATGCAAAGGGGAGGTTGGGTGGGAATCTGGAGGAGAGAGACCCCCTCCTACTGGCCTTGGGTCAGCTTTTGAGTGGAAGGAAACACTGATATCGCTGTGGCCTCTTGACACGTCTTCTGGTTCAGTCAGTGGGTGCTCAGCTTCGCCCTCCGCCTCATCGTAATAATCCAAATCATCCTCGCTGTAGTTTCGTTCCAGGGCTACAGCATGGCTGAAGCCATGTTCCTGAGAAGCTGAAGGGTGGGCTTGGGGAAGGAATCCCCCAACTGTTGCTGGCTTGACATTGTCCAGTGGGGAGGTGCTGCCGACATGAAAAGCCCACACTCCGGGGATCCCCAGGTTGCTGTGTCTAAATAAAAAGGAACAGTGCATTGTAATAAAATCAGCCATTCACACACCTTCCTACAAAGGTGAGCAATTTACTTTAAAACTAAAAGACCATTAAGATTAGATTCAGAGTTTTCATTGGTGTAGAGAAACCAAATAAAATGAGACTTACATGTTAAGTAAAAGGATGATACTGGAATTTTGATACAAACAATCTCTTATTTAAAATTCACTTTCAAAGGCTGTGTTTCACAGACTGCTAGACTATCAAGTTATAATCTGCTCAACAGTCCACATTTTATCTAAAATCTGGCTGATTGGAAACAAAAAGGGAATGCGGGAATATTTTATCTTTCTTCTACTTTTAAGAAAACCTATGCTGAAAAACTTTTGCCAGACACTTAAATAATAATGACTACTACCTGCTTTTAAGAGTTAGTTATGTGCCAAGTGCTTAACCTTCAATACAATCTGCAAGGCAGGGGCAGGGGCCATGCCCAATTTTACAGAGGAGAAAATAGGTTTCGAGAGGCTAACTGATCTTCTTAATAATTCACAGAGCTTGGATTCAGCACTACCACCAGAACCCATGCTCTGCTCTACACTTGGGCTTTATATTATTATAAAATAATTATCATTTTATGTCAGAAAGCTGATACCCTATAATCAATCAGCATGTGAATTATCATAACTCTACAGAATGTTAAGGACATTTCACTGCTAAGTCACATGGATTAATCAATTAACTAATTCACAGAGAATTATGAGTCAATGTAAAAAATTCAAAGAAATAAAAGTGTGCAAGTCTAAAATGTTGAGCAAATGCGGAACAAAGTTAAGGGGAAAATAAGAAAGCAGTTTAATCAAAGTGCCATGGGTCATAGGTGAGAAGTGTTCAGAAATATCTAGAAACCAAGAGCTCATTTGTTTTCTCCATTAGAAAAGAACGTGGACTATTCACTCTCCTAAATATCCCAATAATCCATTATTTTAGAGCCAATGACACATTCTGAAGAAAACAACCACATATAAGATGCCTAAAAGTAAGGAAAATCTCCAACAAGGGTCTGGCTAGCTTGAGTACACTGGCTCTGGTATATGAAAAAACACCAGACTCAGTCTCCCGTGCTGTGGGGTTTCCTCAAAAGTCAGTCAATGAGGGACAAGAGTTAGCGAACTAATAAGTTAATAAGAAATTCATTGAATCCTATAATGACAAGAGAACTTCACTCATTGGGTAGGTACCATTCATAGTCATATGGGTTTCTATAGCCACAATATTTTTCATACAATTCTGACAAGGAATCTCTCCATATCTCTCTATCTCTATCTCTGTCTCTCCCCGTGTGTGTGTGTGTGTGTGTTATAGTTATTGTTATTGTGGTTGTTGCTGCTGCTGCTATTTTAATTAACTTAGGGAAATGAATAGAGAAAGCACAACTGCGATCCTTTGTGCAACATGCTATGGATTGTTGGTAAGTTCTGAGAATTCATGTTGGTGTTTGTTGGCAAGCAAATAAGGAACACAAAAGAAGAGAGACCCCTGAAGATCTGAGGATACTGACTTTATTATCACATCAGAGGTGTTGCAGCTGTGAAATTTCTTCTTGATGTTAGAAACAGAAAACTGTAAAAGCTTCAAAGAGTAGGAAAGTACAAATTATGGCAGATAAAAGCTAAATAAAATAAAGTTCTAATTAAATATAAATCACGATCTTGGTTTTGTCGTTGTGCATCATGGGAAAGGAACCAATTTGAGTTTATGCTAAAATCCAAGGTCATTTGGAAAGCTTAGTGATGGAAAGAATTTATTTCCTAGAAAGGAAAACAAGGCTACAAAATGGGATGACACTGTCATCTTCCCTGGGTTGTTAGGAGGGTTAAATTAGGAAATCACAGAAAATGCCCACACAGAGCCCTGCATATAACAAGTACTTGGCAACTACTGTCTTCCAGGGGATAGAAAAGTATAATCTCAAAAATTCAAATTTTCAGAAGACTTATGACAAACACACTATGAATTATATAATTTATGACTTTTGAGCTTATAACGATGAAACAAGCTTGAGGAAGACAAAGATCCCACTGAGTAGGAAAGTAACTTAATTCTTTAGAGATGTATACTGAAGTATTTAGGAGTGGATGGCATGATGTGTGTGACTTGCTTTATAATACTTAAGCAGAAAAGAAAAATATTGATGCATGTGGCAACATCAACAACTCGACTCTAAATCACGAGCAATTGGCTGTTAGTTTAGCTACTCTCTCCACTTTTCTCTGTTTTTGAAAATTTAAATAATGAAAAGTGAAAAAAGAAGATTTAATTGAGAAACGTTTCTATAATTTGGAGGTAGAAAAGACCTTCTGAGAATTACACCAAGACCTGAAATCATAAAGGAAAAGACCAATAACTTTGACAACCCTCAACTTCTACCTTCTGGATCATAAGTAACTTTAAAGATGACCATCTGGATTAAAATATTCACAGCATACAAGAGGGCTGAGATCTTTACCATATTTTTTTCTTATTTTTAAGAGTTCTTTGTATATACCCAACAGAAAATAGCAAAGGATGTGAACAGAGAAGTCACAAAAAAGATAGATAAACGGCTATTAAGCATAGGGAAAGATGTTCAGATTTATTAGTAATCAAAGAAATTAGAGCGAAAATATGAACATGTTATACCTATCAGATTCACAAATATTGAAAAGGAGGGAAGCTTGTGGGGAACAGACACTATCAATCACTGCCCTGCATTATTGGTGAGGGTGTAAGTTGGTGCAACGTTTCTGAAGGGCAATTTGTTAATAAACACTGAAATGTTAAACTTAATATACTCTTTCTTAGCAATTCTACCTTTAAGGGAGATGAGAATATGAGCAATGTACAGGGTGGGGTAAAAGTAGATTTACAGTTGTTCATATGGAAAATAATACAATCATTAATAAATGATAATATAAGAATAAACTCTGTGTTGTGTATGGTCACAACTGTAAACCTACTTTTGCTCCACTCTGTATATTATGCTGTTTACTGCAATGATATTTACAAAAGAAAAACCAGAAACAATTTAAACATTCATTAATATATATAATATATATATATATAGTGCCACGTTTTAATAGCCTTAGAATGATAACATAAACAGATATTGTACTGAAAGAGGCCTATAAGACAATGATAAATGGGAAAATACCATTTTGGCTTTTAAAACTTTTTACGTAGGTATCTAAAATTCCGGAAGGATTATTAACACTGGTTATCACTTGAAGTAGTGATACTGGGTAATTTTTACTTTTATTTCACATTATCTTTGATTATAATTTATTTTGTTTTTTTAATATTAAGCATAGGTTACCCTTAAAGAGCAATTCCTCTGTTAGTCATTTTGGCCCCATAACTATTCCGCTTTCATCAAGCATCACAGGAGTTTCTGGGAAGCATCAAAGATAAAAATGAGGGAAGGCATGAAAGGAGGTAAATGGAAGTAAGTGTGTCTGTGTGTGTGTGTGTGTGTGTGTGTATGCACGCACATGTATTTTTTTTTCTTTCTACTTTTAAAATTTATTTTAGAGAGAGGAAGGGAGAGAGAGAGAAAAACATCAATGTGAGAGAAAAATATCGGTCGCCTCCTGCACATGCTCAGGGATTGAACCCACAACCTTTCGTTGTACAGGATGATACTTCAACCAACTGAGCCACACCAGCCAGGGCTGTGTGTGTATTCTTAGGGGCCTTTATGATTGTGGTGGGGAAGCACAACTGTTTTTCCCACAGACTGGCTGCCACCACCTCTGTCCCTGTGTAGATGTTAGCACTTATTCTAAGGCTCTGGAATTGTTGACCTTTTTGTCTGTCAACCCTGCTAGAGGGCAGGTTGCTAGGGCAAAGCCTACCCCTCAGACACCTTTGTCTTTCAAGTGTGTGGCCCCCTGTGAGCTCTCCACAGTATCTGAGGAGCAGACTCTGTGGCCTCCAGGGTCAAAGGGTCAGGTGGAACCCTGGGAGGAAAAATACGGAGATAAGTTTTTTCCAGAGTCTAGACTAAAAGGCAGCCTGGATGAAGACCTACAGATGCCCAATGGGGCCATAAGAACAGAAAAGAAGCCCAGGATTCAGCATAAAATAAGTAGTTCAGCGCTCCAGCCTTGGGCTTGAATTTTGGCTTTGCCGCTTAATAACTGAGATTATAGGCAACTTAACTTCCCTAAGCTCATTTGTCCTACTGAGACGAGAGTATACCTTACCTGCTAGGATTCTTGTGAGTTTTAATTAAGACAGCTTCTAGAAAGTGTTTAGCCCAACGTTTGGTGAACAGTAAGCTCTCATTAATGTTGGCTCCAGTAACCATATGTGGTTGTAGGGCCCGCCCGCGGGTAGCTGAGCGGATGGCATGCAAATTGTAAGGTTCCCACACCCAGGAATAGTGTAGTGAAACCCAGAGGTCTCTAGATCAGTATTCAGGAACGGAATAAAAGCAAGAGTATTTTTTTAAAGCCCTGGAATTAATAAATATCAATAGGTGCTAACTACTATACTGGCATGATGCCGACTGACCAAAAGTGAAAGGGTTTAGGATTGCAGGAGCAGAGTAAGCTGCTGATGGGACTGGGGGATGTGCCCAGTCCTGGCTGCCCCACGGAAACCAATCAGTATGATTTCAGATAATAAAGCCATAGCGAAATCCTGAGACTGCTAAAAATCTACCAGTCTGTTTGTTTACTTGTTTCCCAAATTACATTACTTGTACTTTTAACACATTACCAGCCTAAAAGACTAAAATCACAACATCTCCTTCTGTCAAATAATTAACCTGGAAAAACTTCAATCTGGGCAGTTATATTACTGAGTATTTTTATGTGGTTCCAAGAGCAATGTTTTCCATAGCAAACCTCAGTGGCTCTGAAAATGCAGACACACACACACACACACACACACACACATAGAGAGAGTTCTGTTTCAGGTATCTTTAGCCAATAGGGCAAGAAAAATAAAGGACCTTTTATATCTGGTGAACTTGCTCCTCCCAGGGTCTAGTCTAGTTCTGGTTTTGACCTGATGCCTTACTTAGAAACCACCAAGATATCATTTAATGGTCATATGGCCACTCAGGTTTGGGGACCTCCTAAGGGTCCTTACATTCCAACAGGAAAGAGCTTAAGCCCTATGGTACTTACTGATAGAGATTTTTCACAGATTGTTCAGTGCTGGTCAAGCTAAAATATGGACCCTCTCTCTTCGGGTCATCAGTCTCCCCTCGGCAGAAGCCCACCCGGGCTGGAAGCTCGAGCTGGACGTTGTAGGACTCTTTGGGGCGAGTTCCAAAGAACTGAAGGCCATTGGCAGGATAAAGAAAGAAGGCGTAGGTATCAGACTCATCAGATGCCAAAACTGCCTGGAAAGTATTCAGCTATGGGGGAAAAAAAAAAAGGAAATATTCTTAATAAAACAAACAAACAAAAAGACAAGGCAAGCAAAGCATCAAGTACAAAAGGTTTTCCCTCTTCTTAGGATTTCTCCAAATTGTTTTTATACAGACTATTCTTTTAAATTTCTTCTTCAAGTTACAATATAATTTTATAAGCTATGTTGTTATAATCATCTTTTATCAACTCAGATTGATAATTGAAATATGCATGGGTAAAAAAACATCGGTTAAAAACATAATAACCTTTTAAGGTTTCTAGCTTCTCTCATCCAAACCTCTTGCCCAGCTGAGAGCAAGTAGCAAACTTACCTTGTCCATTCCCACCGCCGCTGACCTAGTTTCCTGCCCTGGGCACTCATCTGGCTCACTCATTCATTCACCTACTTACTGAACGCCCACTGCGGGCGGGCACGGCGTTAGGCGCTGGGGGATCACAAGGCCTCCTCACTGTTCTCACAGCCTCACTCTCTTTTCTCTGCCATCGATCTTACTGCACTAGCGTCAGGGTTACAGATAAGGAAACAGAGACACAGGGGCTAAGGAATCTGCCTAGGGTCGGGTAGTTAGCACACGGTGGCAGGCCGGCCAGCTCAGGGTCCACGTCCTGCACACCAGGCCCCCCTCACTACTCCGCGGCACGCCATTCAAGGGGAGGTGCAACCTGCCCTGAGCTCTCCTCCGCGGTTCAGATCTGCTGCATCTCCTTCAGCTTATGTAACATTCCCCATTTGTCCCAGGTTCCCTGATGCTCCTGTGTTTTGTTCACGTTTCCCTGGGCCTGAAAGCCCTCCTGACCTTCCAGTGCTGCCCTCTGGGTATTCCGTGACCCCGTAGATGGATTTCTGTCCCCTGACCCTCCATGACACCTTTGTGAGTGTTTCTAGTTTGCATTCATCTCATTTTGCCTGGTTAGCTGTTTATGTGTTTATAAACTCCATCTATTCATTCATTTGTACAGTAATTCAAACACCAAGTGCCTACTGGGCACCGGACATAGTGCTTAGTGCTGAGGAAGCAAAGGGGCAGAGGACCGAGGACACAGCTTAGGAGAGGAAGACAGCCACAGCAGGAATCCTGGGGGAGTCACTGAAAGAGGGAGTAGAGGCTACAGGGGAGGGCCTGTGCCCAAGGCCTCAGGGTAGAGTCGGGGGGCGGGGTAGGGAGGCCCAGCAGAGGACGCCTGGGAACCTTCATGAGCACAGCAGGAGCCAGGGCAGGCCAGGGAGACCAGGAGCTGAATCGGCCACACACTCAACACCCAAGTCCTTACAGAATCACTCCTTAAACTTCAATTTACTCTCAAATTTTCAGTAAGACATTTTTTGCCTTTATCTACATCCAGCTATCTCCCCCGGCCCCGCCAAAATGAACTGTTGATGGTTCTTGATTGTCTTAAAAAGATGTTATGTTTAGGACTCTGAGAACACCTCTCTCACTAAATCTCCCTCCTTCTACAATTTAGCAGAGAACTGGGGAGGTATTTATAAATACTACTGCTTCCTAAATAATGTGACTCTTAGAAGCATTATTTACTGGTAGGTAGTGTTATTTATTTCCCCACCTTGCCAGACTGTCAAAATTAGGCACTAAGGAGAACATCACAGTTTACTAACGAAAACAGCAAACAAGAGGAATGTGCCCTGAGTTTGGTTCCATCCTGGTTCCTTCCCCATGTAGTGCTCAAGCTCTCTCCCAAAGTTAATTCTTCCTTTCAGTGTTCAGTTTCAAAGTTTAGTTTTGAGGTTCTGCTTATAGGACAAAGACACACAGGTCTTTAAATTCCTTTTAAGAAAAAAACAAAACGATGCACAACCTTTCTTTCCCTTCTCTGACACTGAAAAGGTCACCTTGCCTGGCTTTGCTCTTTGCTTTCCTTGATCGAAGTTCACAAACGTACAGTGTTACGGGGAGGGAAGCTAGTGTATCTGCTACTGTAGCTGTCGACTGTTTCATCCGCAAAGCTTGAGTTTTCAAAAGCAAAAGGCAAGAGATGTTTTCTAGAATTTCTCAAAGCTGGGAAGCCAGAACTTCCGCCAAATATAAATCAAGGCTGTTCTGCAGCATACTACACCATCAATTCACGTGGCTCCAGTAACTTCCAAGTTTTACTTTGATCAGGATAAATAAAATTCAACTGCAGAAAGAAAGGAGAAAGAACCTGTCTCAAAAAACTAAGCTTTCAAAGCTCCTGGCATTGATTGCCCACAATAAACGTGAGATAGGAAGAGATCCTGGTTCTAAGTTTAGAGACATTCTCTGAGATAAGGAGGGCCTGTAGATTGAGAAGGAGCTGAAGGGGATGGGGGAGGAGGGGACAGGAAAAGTAAACAGAGCTGGGACAGGGAGGGTCTGGCTTTTCACTGTGGGGTCTGGGCATTTGGCACTTTATTTTATTCACTCTTTCAGTCAGCCAGTCAACAAATTCATCCCAATGAAAATTTACTCAATGTCTTTTACGTGCCATCCCTGAGACAAGTACTTATTACAGGTGGCAAGCTTTAATCTACTTGTCTCCACTGAGGCAAATAAAAGAAGAAATTTAAATAGAATTTAGGATCCCAAAGTACATGCCAAAAGTTTGGCTACTTAAAAACCATCCACACACCAAATGATCACTCTTAAAGCTCTTGCTCAGTTCCATAAAATTCTACATCTACTTGCTAAAGAGTGGCCTTCACCAGTCCTGAGGGCTTCTCCTCCTCCCAAGGCTCTCACTCCTTGACTGGTTTCCAGACTGGAAAGGTCTTGACATTCCTGGAGACCAGCCTTTGCAAGAACCCCACACACTCTGTCTCTGAAGGGAAACCCTCAGATGGGCTGCCAAACCCCACAAAGGGGTCACAGGTTCCCAACTCCCCCAGGATCCCAGCCAGAGAGGAGAGAGGGGCCTCTCTGGGCAGAGGGGAGCACAGGCAGGATTAGGGCCGGTGGCAGCCGAGCTTCAAGGTTTCCGCCATCCTGTTATCAGAAAGACAAAAGCCAGAGCCCTCAGCAGAAAGCAGGCAGGAATCTGACCCTCCTTCGCAGGTATAGGATATCGCCAGTCAATACTGCCTTGACACTCAGCAAAGCCAAGCTGATGGATATAAAACATGCCCATCTGTGAGTGTCTAATTTTTACAATTCATTTAATTAACAGAATAGTGCCATCCCTGTCCCAAAGGGATCTGCCTATAGTGGCTTACAAAAATTACAATGAAAATTAGTCAGTAGGGTGAGTCCTAAAGGGGTCATGAAGTTTTCTCTCTTCCTTAGGGGCACATGCTTTCCACAGTTGCAGCATCACTGACTTCTGGCCTCCAGTGTTGGGTGTCAACACTAACCCCCATTCCTGGTATAATTCTCCATCCCCCATTACCTATATGATAACTGTCACACGCATGATTTTCCCTCATTCATTTTCTGCCCTAAATCCTACAGATCCTGCCCAAAATTCAAAGATAAATGCTCGGGGCTATCATATCCTTCCTGGCCTTTAGTCTTTAGCAAAACTTCAGCATTTCTTTAACCAATTTCCTCACCTGTCTCATTCTGTATGTGTTCATAGCTATGCCTCAGTCTCAGATTAAATTCTTTCAGGTAGCCTGCAGACCTCCCCTCTTCAAAAAGCTGCAACAAAGTCCTGCTTTTACCTCTCATTCTCTGTGGATCCAAAACTCCCCATCAATGACCATCATTCTTTGAAACAAGTCAACATACTTCAGTCCCTACACTGAGGCCTCCAATGGGCAACTTTCTGCTCATCTTATGTCACTGCCCCATGGCTCCTTCATCTATTTCTCCAGCCGTGGCTCTTCAGCCATCTCCCACATCCTACCTCAGAATAATCTGTCCTGCTGCCTCATTCTCAAGATCCATTCTTTCAGCCCACCTGAAAATTCAGGCCAACAAAACATTCCCCATAACCAGTTCTCTATCATTTCCATCCCTCAAACAATGACAAAACAATATTCCCCTTCCCCTCCCAAAAAAATGCAGCTAAAGTAAACACTAGCCCTCTTTATGTCAATAAGTTCATTGAATGTCAATACCATGACTTTTTCACTCTGTGAAGCACCTATGACGCTCAAGGAGTCTCAGATTAACTGAGTTGACAAACACTACTTGTTCATAATTTTAGATGCAGGTACATCTTGATATCCCTGCAATATCAGCTACAATATCCTGTCACACTCACTATGAATATCCACAGAGAGAAAAGGCAACAACTGAAACTGTGTTAGATGGTAAAGATGCCATTCCTCTGATATCTTCAAATTTCAGGTGACTTTGCAACATAATAGGCCAAGGTTTAAGAAAGCCATGTAGAGCTCCTTCAAGCAAAGTACATTACTTGCCGAAATCTACCTCCAAAGAACTATTGAAACAAGAACTCAAGTCACAGAGCTCTTTAAAGTATTCAGAACCTTCAACATGGGTAATTGAAAAAACATTCTCTAAACAGAATCCTCATCTCCTTTCTAAATGAAACAAACTCTGAAGCCAACTCAGCACATGGCAATGTCTGATTGATTTTAATTAGAACAGTGAGAGAGAGATGGAATCTGCAAATCTTCCTGCACTCCCCACCCAAAAGAGCCCAGACAGAAACTGCAGTTTGGAAAACTTATATTTAAAGAGTCCGTACGTAAAGGACTTGCTTCACAGCATCCTTGCAAGAGAGAGAAATAAAAGAGCCAGCACCTGATCCTATCAAGCCAACGAAGGGGAACACAGGTCGGGTGAGCATCCACACCAGCTGGGTCTAAGGGACTACGGTAGCTACGTAACAATGTCACCTTAGTTAATTCTCACCACAATCCTGGAAGTTAGGCATTGCCACCCCATTCTACAGCTTAGGAAATTGAGTCATTGTTTCTGAAGTCACTGGATAACCTCTCATAAACACTTTTTCTTTCAAAATGCTTTTATCTTTATTGTCACTGTCTTCACAGCCACCCTGAAAGTTGGGTAAGAGACGCATAATTCCCACGCTACAGATGACATTGAGAAAAATAATTAATAAAGTCACATATCTGTTATTGTCATTTTCAGTTTCAAATAAGCCCTGACAAAACTGGAACTTAAAACTATAGAGTGATTTCATCACCCCAAAGCTTCTGAGCAACTGCTCATCTCCCCTATTTATCTCACTCAACTCTATCTTTCTATTCTGTGTGGAAAAAGTGAGACAGATACAGCTGATTCTCTCCAGAGTGCTGGAATACTAATTTGTATCAATAGTGTCCTTGGCAGCAGATTTCATTCCGAGTTCATTCTTCCTTCGAATGCAATGTGGTTCCAAGGACTCTTCTGGTATATATGATCACATCAACACAATAAACTCCAGCTTTATTTATTGGAAGTCTTAGGAAAAGGCACCACTATTGTTGTGTCTGCCGTCATCTTATGTGCCAAGGAAATGGGTCTTGTGTGAAAAATCTCTGGGTAAAAGGAACAAAAGCCTAAGAATCAAGAAATCTGTATTCTAAACCTATCTTTGCCTCAGGTTCTTTCTCCTTTCTTTCTGTAGTTGAATTTTATTTAAGAGCAGAATTTTGGACAATACCTTTAACTTCTATTTGCCATTATCTGTGAAATGCAAACAGTAAGTCATGTGCTACTTATCTTAGAGGATTGTGTGGGAAGGGAGTAGGATAAAATATTGTTTTCAGAATTAACAAGATAGCTTAAATAAACACCTCAGTCATAAGTGTCTAAGTAGTCCATCTTTCCTTTCTGCCCTCACCCTCTCAATCCTCAAAAAGAGCTCTCGTAACAAAAAATAGCAATCTTCTGCTCTAAATCCTTCAAAGGCTGCCTGTTGCCCAAGAACCAAGTCCAAACTCAGCGCAGCATGGTCTGTCCCCGCCCCACGGCCTTCCCAGCCTCCTGTCCCACCCCCCTTTCTCTTCAGAAGTAATGTACCACACGTAGGCCCCAAACACGCTGCACTCTACAGCACACAGCTGATATGTCATATGCTATCTTTCTTTTGGGAATGTTCCACTCTGCTCAACTCAGATTCAAAGCCACTTCTTCACTGAAACCTTCCCTGATTCAGTCCCCTAACCAGGGCGTGGTAGAGTTAGCCTGCTTAAGTCAAAATGCTACGACTCGTATCACATTGAATACAATCAATGTCCCTACTAAACAATGAGATCCTTGGGAGCATGTCCTTTCACGGTGTCTGTATCAGTCCTGACATATAATACGTGTACAAAAAAGGTTTGTTGGATGAATAAATCTCAACTATGTTTAAATGTAAATTACTTACACACACACATGAATATGCCACATATAAGATGTATATTTAGAAAAAGAGTGGAAGAAAATAAACTGTTAGCAGTGGTGACCTCTGGTTAGTGAAATTATAAATAAGGTCTATTTTCTTTTCTAAATATTCTATTGTAGGTATGTTCTACTTCATTTTAAATATTTAAACTTATAAACAAAAATGAATGATGAATGAATGGATGCAACATAATGGTGGGAGCCTCACTTTATTAAACTTTCTCCAACTCTCCACCTAGTCCAATGCCCTGCACAAAAGAAGTGCTCAATATATCTGTTTAAATTCAATGTATTCTGTCAATTGAATAATTAAAACGTCAAACCATGTTTGTTTGTTTTTAAAGTAGTCAATGAACAAAACTAGATGTTGCCTGACCAAAAATGAGTGGTAAAATGTCATAAATTCAAATAATTTTTATTTCTAAATCTTCTTTGCTTAGTACAGTCTTTAGGAAATATTTCTCTTACAGAACACATAAGAGTGGCCACCACCTTGAAATACTCAGTGAGAGTGGGCAAGCTACTTACTCTTTCAGGGAAGAGATGTACCATCTTTCTGTAGCTAAGAAACACTTTGATGAGTTAAAATAAAGATAAATGGTAAGAGTTTCAGCCCTTGGAGTATAACGCTTTAGATTCAGGTCTAATTTTATGGGAGGAAGTCCTTACCTACTCCAGGAATGAGACAGTTTGTCATTTGCCAAGCCACCCTGGCCCCACCTGATGTCCATTTGGGGTACTTTAAATGTTGCTGCCAAGCCTAAAGACTGGGAGCTTGGGTTGTTCCTCAGGTAGGGGCTATAAAACAAATTGAGGACAGTTTCCTATAAACTAGGGGGCATATAAACCTAGAGGGCAAGTTGGCAAAGCTATCAAGAACCTTATAAAAAGTGCATCCCCTCTGGCCCGCCAATTCCAAATCCTGGAATGTCAACTAAGGACATGTGCAAAGATTTAGCTTTAAAAAAGTGCTTTACAAAATTATTTATAATGATGAAAAATCAGAAATAACCTTAATGACCACTGGGCACAGTGGTAAATCCAGTGGATGGAGTGTTATGCAGACTTTATAAATAATGTAGAAATAGATTTACTGACATTGAAACATATTCACAATATACTATTTAGTGGGGGGAAAGTAGGTTACGAAACAGTCTGTGCACTGTGAACCCATCATTGTTAATAGAAAACGACAGATAAATATAGATATTGATAGGAAAAAACCCTCTGGAATATACACAGGAAAAATGTTTAACAGTTAACAGTGGTTATCTTTGAGTGGTAGGAAAATGAGAGGTTGTTCTTTTTAAAACTGCCTGTATTTGCTTATGTTTTTCTTTCAATGAACATATAATTAGAAATAATTCTTGTATACTTAGAGGTGATTCTTAAAATAAACAACCAAACAGTAAACTGCTTTGTGCTTAGAAGGCCTTCCCGTCTGCCCTGGGGCCCTCTCATCCCCTAAGCAAGCTTTCTTGCTAGAAGGGACCAGATCCTCAATGGAAGCCTGAAGCCTTCACTTCTAAGCCAGTGCAGTCCTGGTGCCATCCAAGGACACATCAGGTCCAGCTCAAGAGCAGATTCAGAAAAAACTCCAAGCCAGGCCCTGGGTTCCAGCCCAGAATTCAAGCCCATCCCTCAGCTGGCTCAGCAGCCAGCATCCCCGTCACTCACCTCCCGCGAGGGCGGCGCCCCGAGCCTGGGCTCCTCGTAGGCGCCCACCTGCTCCCAGGTGGCCAGGAAGGCGTGCGTGGGGGCGAAGCCGGCCGCGGTGCTGGGGAAGCCTGCGCGCGCGTAGCGGGCGGCCAGGCCCAGCACCTGGGGACTCGTGTCCTCGCGGTACAGGATCCTGCCCCTGCCCTGGCTCGTGTCGATGTCGGCCAGAAAGGGAGCAATGGCCGGGAAGTCCGTAGGGAAACCATCGTCCACATACTGGGTCTCCCTGGGGAAGTCCTTGGTGGAGATGATGCCGTTGGTGCCCACCTGGCAGAGGAGGGGTACAGAAAGTGACGGTCGCTTACTCAGCAAGAAGCCCCAAGGCGGCCACCACAGGTCCAGACGTGCGCGCCCACCCTGCCCCCACGGAGGGAAGGGAACCGCCCTGAGCATGGAGCTCCCCTTTCCCCAAAGCCTTGGAGGCTGACTCCGGGTTCAGGGCGACCAGCGCAACTTCAGCCCGCGCCTCCGCACCCCCCCCCCGCACCCCTTCCCTACCGCTCCACGCAATAGGTCCAGGAGCCCTAAAACTCCGTTGCGTATTTTCTCACTTCCCGCACAACCCTGCAGAAAACCTCCAAGTCCGCGGACGGCGCACCCCCAGCTCTGCAGAGCGCACAGCCTTCTGGCTGCCCTAACTGCACCCCCGCCGGCTGCCCTGGCAACCCCACCTTCTCCTCTGCCCGGGTCACGTCTGTGGCCGCGAACAGTCTCGCTCGCTCAGCCGAGGTGGGGAAACGCAGCGGGTCCCGCAGCAGCATCGCTGCAAAGCCTGGTCCCACCCAGGGGCGCTCCAAAGCTTGCGCACGATTTCCTCCCCTCCGAAGGCTGGGGCTTGGTGAGAGCTACACTACACGGACCCCTGGGAAGAAGCTGCGAGAAATCTGCCGGGTCCCGCACCCGGAGGGGGCCGGACTTACGTAGAGGTAGCTGAACTGGGCGTCGTAGAAGCGCAGGGGACTCGCCAGCTTCACCGCGGCGGAGCTTTCGTCGTCGCCTTCCTTCAGAAGCTGGTCCCCCCGAAACTGCCCGTAAGGGAAGAGCCCGCTGGGGTGCAGCCCCGCGGCCCGGGGCAGCAGCAGCAGCAGCAGCAGCCGCGGCGGCGCCAGCA